TATATATGGCATTTTTGGCTGCCATCTGAAAATTTGAATTATATTACTTGAAAATTACTTGATGTGAACTGTTGAGTAGAGATATACAAATGTTTGGATGCACAACTAAGTGATAAATAAGATCAGATAGTTTTGTAGTAGTAAAGTATGTGTGTGTATATATACATATATATGTATATGTATACGTATAGATATGCTTTATTCTAGGTTATAAAACATATTTCTATGATTTTACTAATTTGAATATTACACATTGTATACAGAGTTAAGTAATGCATACTTAAATGTATCAACTAGAAGTAGTATTAAGTGGACTGCTTCCCCAGTGGATAGCATCCACTAAAATATATGTACAACTGCTATAAAACCAGAGGACTATGTTGGCTAAACATAATTTTCTGATTTACACAACCTATCCTATGACATTTCAGCATGTAGAGAGGACTCCAGTAACAGTAAGACAATAAAAATCACATCACTAGAAATTTACAAGGACTCATTTTCCAACAACAGTTTTAAGACACAAGTTAGAGTGCAAGCCATATGAATTTCCTAGTTTTGTGACTGCTTTGTTGTTATTAGCTTAACCTACAGTGCAAGAAAACATCAATAAACATACAGTGAAAATAGGATTCCCAGAAGTCTAAACAAGAGTCTCAACTGTGACCACTCAGCCTAGAGGCTATTTCAAGGGCTGCAGGCTGTGCACACCTCCCTGAGTCAAATGATTCATAGAGAAAAGCTCACTTGTTTTTGCTAAAATTAAAAGACATTAAAAAACTGATCATGTAGGGCTGGAGAGATGGCTCAGCAGTTAAGAACACTGGTTGTTCTTACAGAAGACCTGGGTTCAAATCTCAGCACCCACAGGGCAGCTAACAACTGTCTGTAACTCCAGTTCCAGGGGATCTGACAGCCTCTTCTGACCTCCACAGGTATTGCACGACATGTGTGCACTTACCTACATGCAGGCAATATATGCATACACATAAAATAAAAATAAATAAATTTTTTTAAAAACTGATAATTTTAATTCTCCAACTTGGACTATCCACAGCAGCTGATCACTGTAAGAACTGGTTGCTCTTTAGGCCCATGGACAATATCACCCATGAATAAGTCAGACTTCTGCATCTGGATTTCACATCCTTAGATTCAACCAACTGTGGATCAAAACTTGCCAGAAGAAAAGTGTCTGGTTGGCATGTATGTGGGAAAAGGTTAAATCATATACACTGTTGGTGAGAATGAAAACTAGTTCAGCAACTTTGGAAACCAGTCTGGAGGTTTCTCAAAAACCAGAAGTAGAACTCCAAAATGACCCAGCTATACCACTTCTGGCCATGTACCAAAGGGTTTTCTATCCTTCTAAAGAGACACCTGCATACCACCTTTATTATGGCTCTATTCACAGTAACTAAGAAATGGAATCAACCTAGATGTCTGTCAACTGGCAAATGGATAAAGAAAGTGTGATACATACACACAATGGAATTTTATTCAGCTCTAAAGAAAATAGAATCATGAAATTTGAAGGTAAATTAACGAACCTGGGAAAAATTATACTGAGGAAACCCAGATCCAGAAAGACAAATGTTGCATGTTCTCTTTCATATGTGGATCCTAGTTTCAAATCTTCTGTTTTGTGCATTTAGATTGGAGTATATGCGGAAGCCAGGAAACTAAAAAGGAGCCTTTGGGGGTCAAGGAGGATGATTAAGTGAGGGGAGCTAGTGGAATATAAAGAAAATAAAAGGAGAGAAGGAGAATACTGGGGGCAGAAAGGTTTAAACAAGGAAGAAGGTGGGGGATGGGGAAAGTCAGGGAGGTGATGGGAGAGATAATCAAAATGAAGGTGTGTGGAAAAGTCAAATGGAAATCTATTGCCTTGCAGATCAATTAAAAATATAACTGGAGGGGATAGAATTATTTTATTCTGCAACGAGTGAATTTTGTCATTCAAAATCATCAACTTTTAAACATAGTAAGGGTTTCAATAAGGTAATTTAGGAAGAAAGGCATTTCCAAAAATAATTATATACTCATTCTTCCACAACAAATTGAAATTCAAATTTGTTTGGTTGATTTTGTTCTGCAAACAATGTATTGTGAACAATCCAAGAATTGTGTGTTCTTATCACACCCAGTTGAGTGCTGTCACAGACTTTTCTTGTTTAATCTGAAAACAAAAGTCAACAACATGACCTTAATTATTTCTCTTATGGATAAATATATGTTTTATTGATCAGACACAGACACAATTCGTGTGTGCTTTCAGTATGTAACACTGAAAAGGATCAAAGAGTTACTATATAGTAAACAGTCATCAAAGCAGCACTTTTTAAGCTGAAGTGTAATTACATGAATATTACATCTGACTAGGGATCATCAGAATTATGATTGTAATTAAAGACATTGTCCTTTCTCTTTGATGCTTTTTTTTTCTAATATCTTTCAACTATTGTCTTAAATGTTCTCACCTTGTGGTAAAAGAGATTGCCAAACACAGCAGTCACTAAACACAGGAAGTAGAAGGGAAATCTTTGAAGCAAAATACAGTGTCTTCTTTTTCATCTTGTTATTGGCATATAATAATTATATGTAATGGGTTTCATTATGACATTTTAATGTGTTACATAATTTATTTTTATTAGTATGTGAGAATCCTTTCATTACCAAGAAATGCCAGCTATGTACATAGAATAACAAAACAACCATTAAGCTTTAAGGGTATTGGTAACTAAATTATAGAAAACATATCATGGCTTGCCTAGTTTCACTTATTTCTACAGATAAAATCCTATTAACGAATCAAAAATATGTGTATAGCGGGGCTGGAGAGATGACTCAGCAGTTAAAAGCAATGGCTGCTCTTGCAGAGGACCTGGGTTCAATCCCCAGCACCCACATAGTGGCTAACAACCATCTATAATTCTAATTCCAGGAGACCCAATGCCCTCCTCTGACCTCTGTGGGCTTTGCATGACACAGTGCACTTACATACATGTAGGCAATATACTCATACACATAAAAAATAAAAATAAAATAAAAAATATGCGTATATAAGACATTGTCTGACAATGACTATTATTCTAAAGCAAAATTTTTCTATGAATTTCTAAAAGGCCTATTTTAAAAATAGCCATAATTTTGATGGAATTTTTCCTCAACTGGATGGTTATTATATGACTATCTTTTCTCTCCCTTCTTCAGCGAGGAAAAGTGATTATCATGTAGCTTACAACATTGCAATTTGTCTGGTAATTATAGAAGATGCTCATTGTTACTACAAATACTTATTGAAGAGGCAAATAACTGAGCACTGCCAAGAAAGCTAAACATAGGCAACGCTGGATAATTGGGGATCATCTCTTCCACCTGCTGTAGCTATGTTTGTGAAAGAAAAAATGCCTATTTTTCCAAGAATTATCAGGTGACTTTAGTAGTTATTTATTAAAATAGCATCCTGTCTTAAGGTATGAAATCAACCACTCTGAATCAATTTTGCAAGAAGGTGACTTGTGATGACACTCGGGTAAAGAGGCTGGCATCTGTCCTTCATCCCTCAAAGCCTATTGTCTACACTTATCCATCTCCCTCTGAGGCTCCAGCAGCTCGGGCCTGTGGCCACATTCACCTGTTTGTTTTGGCCAGCAGGAGCCATCAGGGGGAACTCTGAGGTGAAGGATAGTTGGGGTACTTCTTACCATGGCTGGTAGTCGGACTGACTACCTTGACAACAATGCTTCCCTTGGCTCCTGTCTGCAGCCTTTTCTACAGTTTTCCCTGACTCTGTCTCTGTACTCATATGAGGTTAAAGAGTCCACTGTAACCTGGTGCAGGATGGTATAAATTCTTGTGAGTTTCTTATACTTCGATCATATCTTCTATGAAACTTTTTGAAATTATTCTGATTTTAGTGTGCTGTTTCTTTTCTTTGAGTCACTGACTATTACAGGTAGCTCTTCTTTTTCTTTTCAGGAAAAATTTCACTTACAAAGCAGGTGTGCAGATGAGCAAAATGTATTTAGAGACTTTAGTCATAGTGGACCAATGTTATCATAACATAAAAATGCAGTGCTTAATATATATATATATTCATTTATATATTAATGAATGAGATGAATATAACTAGGAATGCCAAACTACTAAATAAGTTTGGAAAGATTTCTGACACTTACCAATATAGTAAGTCTGCTCTAACTGAAGCAAGTCATTTTCAGCTTTGGTATAAAATTATTAACCATCTTACATAAATCACACAAAAGAAATGGCTGGAGAGATGGATCAGAGGTTAACAGTGCTGACTGCTCTTGCAGAGGACCCGAGTTCAATTCCCAGCACCCACATGGCAAATAACAACCATCTATAACTCCAGTTCCAGGGGATCTGAGGTCCTTCTTCTGATACTTATTGAAGAGGCAAATAACTGATCACCTCCAAGAATGCTAGACATTGGACATTGCATGACAGAGGTGCACTTGCACACATGCAGGCAATACACTCATACACATAAAATAAAAATAATAGAATATTTTTAAGATCATATAAAAGAAGCAAGATGTCACATTAAAAACATATTCTGATTACTGATGGGCAAGGGGGAGTTGATCGTTAAGGGAGGGACTATAGATAGGCTGACTAGATCCCAGTGGAACTTGCACTGAGGGATGTCTGGGGGCAATAAATTGACTCGATAGACCTTAACACAAATGACAGAATGCATGAAATCTGGTGGGGGGGCTATGTGTGTGGATGGGGGATATAAAGATGATTAAGATGCCTTGTATGAAATACAAAAAAATTCAATAAAAATATACAAAAAATTATTTTATGTGCACAATTCATCTTCTCAAATGCAATGTAGAAAGAAATATTACCTTTTCACCAATTTCTCCTTTGCTGCCTTCAATACCTTGTTCTCCCTATAAAAGAGCAATATGATTTATATAGAATAAGAGCAATACTTAAAGTTCATGCAATTGACACAATAATAGTAATATATCTAATAGTAAAAATGTCAGTGACTTAAATATTCCTTTGTACTGTGTAAGCTCTAAGCCAATGTTTAATAAGAAAGTTTAAATAGTACAAAATACTAAAGGACTGATTTTCTAGACACTTCACTAGTCCCAAGAAAATCTCATCCTCATAAGCCCGACTGTCCCATACATATGCTGAGCCTGGTAACTATGATACAGTCCTCTGAGATTTCCTTTGAATTAGCAGAGTGCCTAGCACACAGGGACTTGGCCATTCTTGTTACTACTGTTTCATTAGATACAGTAGAAACAGACTTCTTTAAAACCTGCTTTCCATGCACGTTTCTAATGGAAGTTTCATAGTGAGTAAGTTTAGGGTTGAACTGTGGCATTCAGAGTTCATCTCTGACACCAGCCCAGACTCTTCTCTGCCCTGCTCTTGTGACTCCATTACAGGAGTGGGACTCTGGTGCTCACAGAGCTGCTGTCTTTTTATTCCAAAAGATGCAATTTCTGCAACTGAACTCTCTCTGATTTGGTAAGTTAATTTTTATCATAGACATATTGATATTCCCTTCACATATTCAATAAATGTTCACAGAGAGCCTCCTACATGTCAGGCACCCATGACAGTGTTGCCAGGAAGTGAATGCTGGGGATGGTTATGTGTACCCTCTACTCACTGGAGGTCATGACATAAAGCATCCAGCTGGCATCCCCTGAGTGCACAGATACAAGTGACTGGGGAGTTTTTGTTTAATTTCTTTTTTGGTTGTTTGAGAGAGGTTCTTATACAGACCAGATGTCTTTGAACTCACTATGAAGCCAAGGACAGCCTTGGACTCCTGATCTTCCTGCCTCATCCTAGGTGCTAGGATTACAAATAGAAATATGCCACCACACCTGGATAGAGACACGGGGTTTCTTAATTGTTTTTCTGTAATGTCTCAGAAAGGTGAGACGATATAATTTAAATTCACATAAATTATATGGAGTATAAAGGGAGCTTTTGTATTACATATATAATTTGTGACTATATTAGCACAGTCAAATACACATATAAAATGTGTTACCAGCAAACAATAGCTTTTACCACTGAATGGATGGGCCTACCTTTCTTCTACTGTTTTTACCTAAAATATAGACTTTAACGCCATCTGTTAATTCAAGCTGACACTGAAGCTGCTAAATGCCTCTACCACATTAGTTACGATGTCAGCATGATGCAGCCACCACAAACAGCTGCTGGGAAGTCCAAAACTATTTCCCAGCAGATAAATCTGAACATCCCTTGGCTTGAAAGTCGACTCTCAGATTCAGTGCATGCTGTAGTAACGGGTTTTGCCTAGAACTGTTGTTCTAGGCAGACTCAGAAGTGTGCCATTTCAGTTTCCCAGCTCAATCTTATCATCTGTATGGGGCTGCGTAAAGAAACGTTTTTTTTTAAAGCTGTAACTATAGCTATGAGTATATCTTTTTAAAGGGCATTTTTAGCTACAGAAAGAAACCTATATCCATACTAACTCCTGAAATTTTGTTACTAAAACTTGGAAAACTTCACCAGAACATAGAAATGACATGCTTGGCTTTGGTGGGCATCTAAAATTGCAAATATAATGCTCTCCCCTATGGGGGATTACGGGTTGTATCATGACAGCTGGCCCCACCTGAGGTGACTGTTCTTCCCACTGGAAATCTGGAGTAGACACGCCTCTGTGTTTCCAATAATGCTGCTTGCATACAGTCAAGCTCCTCCCCAGAGAAAGAAGGCAGTCTTTGGATGACAGTGAAGGGTACAAAGGAAATTCACTTTGGTAAAGAGAAAGTTGCCAGGCACAGAAGGCAGCGCCCTGGCCAATGAAAAACTCATCCATCATAAATGTGGCATTCCAAAGGATTATTATTTTTCTGTACAGGAGCGGATTGAACCTACAACTTTACATATGCCTGGCCCTCTATACTTTTTATTTTGAGACATGCTCTCACTAAGTTGTCCGAGCCAACCTTGAATTCACTCTGTCGACCAAGCAGGCCATTAACTTCCACTTCAGTCTCCCAAGTAGCTAGGATTAGTGACCTGCACTACCAGACCAAGTAGAAAGTTGTTTGTTGAAGTGTTAGGTTGCGTGTGACTTTTGTAATATTTGATATTTCATGTCATTGTAGATACTATGTTTGATTCAACCTGAGATATAAAAAAGAGCAAATAATACGTAACCAATTATAGTGAATGTCAGTAAAAAATCAGTCCATTGTATATTTCTTTTTACTATGATTAATAAAAATGAGAGTGTTTCTGGCACAACTCTTATACTTCATGGCCCTCAGAGAACATGGCTGCTGATTTCTTCAGAAAGGCACACTGCTAAAACCCTGGGATGGTTTTCCTCAAAGTCTCTGAGAAGGAACTGTATTCATGGATCCTTTAGGTATTAGCTTCCTAACTGTCTTTGGTAGAATTTAGTTTTATCAATTACATTTCCCAAATTTCTACTATTTTCTGTGTGAATTCAATTGTCAAGATGTTAAAATTCTTAGTTCATATGAAACATTTACAAAACCTATTACCTTTTGGCCAGGTAAGCCTGGAATACCACGTAAACCATTTTCACCCTAAAAGAAATATCCAAAATAAATTTTATTAGCCACAAATATAATGACCAAAGAGCTCTTCTTTAAAACAAAACAAAACAAAACAAAACTGTGGTGTTGTGAAGAAAGGTAACCTACTTCGGATGAGCTATCGTGTGTAGGGTCTTCCATCTTTTTCTTACCCCACAACTCCAGGATGATCACTTCAAATTTTAAGGTAAAGAAATAGAGGCTCTGAGATGCTGGGTGCCATGCTCAAGTCACTCAACTAGTAGTATTACCTGGGGTGTGGATTTCACAGCCTGTGTTTAATAACTCTTTTACTATTTTTACTTTCAAACCTCTGGGCATATTTATAAATACTTTTTATGGGGTTGGCATTGTTTCTTGAACAAACCTATCAGGGAGTTACTATTCCCATAATAACCTTATACAAAAGATTACACCCTGACTGGAGTTCAAACAAATGCACTTCAGCTGGGGGTAATTTCCTATCTCCCTACATGGTCTCTGGAACCAGGTTTCACTCTGGTTTATAAGCATCTTCTTGCCTAAAGTGTGATATCATTTAATATATATGTTCTTATTAAATTTATGAACCTGTTTCCTTTCTTAACCACATGTGCTGATTGCCTTTCGAGTTTTGGATTTTTGAGGTCATATGCAATGACGTTTTACATGAAAAGCTTCCTTGGAGGGTTTATCTCTATCCGTCCAGTTCCTGTTGTGGGTATAAAAGTTTTCAGCAGATACCCATCATTTTCTTTTACTGGCATTCACCAGCATCTCTTTGACAGTCCAGTGTGTGAGCAGCATACCAGATGGAAAGAAATATTCCTAGGAGGATGAGCACACTCTCAAGGGAGCCTCAAGCATTTAATTTGGGGTATGGAATTTACTTTGTTGTCTGAGTTTCCAGGTTTAAACAGCTCAAAATGCAGTAACAATGCTACGAATCTGCTCTATTTTTGCTCAATACTTACAAAATTAACTCAGAAATAATGTTTTTAAAGCATTACCTAGAATACAAGTATCATTTCTAATAATTAAAGAAATTTTAATTCTTAGAAAAGAAAAGAAAGAAAAGAATCACATCTTCAGAATTCAAAATACCAACAAGATTATATGCCTAAGTATAAAAAGAACGATTTTATTACTAACATAGTTTAGAAAGTTTTGTGGTATACAGGCATACCCATGATTTTAAGGACTACAGTCTTTCTTAGCTTGGACTAAATTATCAAAGTATTCTACAGAATTAATGCTATCATCATAGGAAGGCAAAACTTGGTGGTAAAGTGTAATTACATATGGAAGCATCAACAAAAATTGCACAATTATTTGTGTAGTAAGCATTTCTATCACTTTTAAAAGTTATTGTAGCTGGGCGTGGTGAAGCACGCCTTTAATCCCAGCACTTGGGAGGCAGAGGCAGGTGGATCTCTGTGAGTTCAAGGCCACCCTGGTCTACATAGTGAGTTCCAGGACAGCTGGGGCTACAGGGAGACCCTGTCTGAAAAAGACCAAAAAAAAAAAAAATCTTGTAGTTTCAGACCTTAGGTACTGTTCAAGTCTAGTAGAAACTTCCAATACCATCTGATAAAGAGATAATAAACTTTGAGTATCTGATGCCAGGAAAATTATATGGAAATAGGGCTTTTATTACTCATCACTGAAGTATGCTCATTTGTTCATAAGAAGCAGATTATTTTCCTCAGTTGATCCAATATAATATTTTATATCATATTACAAGTTACACATGATAACAAGATATGGCATATAATCCAATAAAGTTCAATGATACAGTATTTACACGCCAAAAATCCTGTTTGGGAGGAAAAATAGCAGTGGCAGTCCCTCTTCCTCTGTTGGCAGCCGGCTCTTACATACCGTGGCCTGAGAACTGGCACTGAAAGTCTTGCTGCCATGGTCAGGTTAGTATTACATCCAAACACGCTGTTAATTGAATACTAAGTCTTAATACTGTGTTTCCCTATGACCAATGCTAATTGATCTCTCCTCTTTCCTGAGGGGAAATATGTTTGGCAAGCATTATTCTAGATTCAGAGACGACGAATGCATAGCACTGATTATCTCAGAAAATAAGTTTTCCTCACATGACATATCAATATATAGAAGTTTCTGAAATGTTGGCACTTTCAAAGTTTAAGTTTGGAACTTTAATGCTTAGAATTAACTTACTGTCTTTCTACTGTGTTTCTCGAAATTACCAAAGATGCCCTACTTGGAGAAGCACAATCATGTTTAATAATATGAGCTTAATCTACTCTATCAGAGGAACAGGATCATATTTTTGTCTCTACCTCAAAAAAGGAAAGATATGTTTATTAGCATAAACAAAAAAAGGAAATGGTCCAAAAGAATATAGTTTTCTTTAGCATGTTAATGGAAGATATGGAAGATGTTAGTGCTGTAAACACTGTATCTAAAACCTATTTATGCCAGTAAAATGATCACTTCTTACTGCTTCGTCTGCAACAAAGCAAAGTCCAAAGTGCTGCAGGAATTCTGGAGTCAAATCTAATTCTATCTACAAAATCAATTCCTGCAACGTTACCCAAAGGGTATGCTTACTTGTTTCGTGTGTGTGTGTGTGTGTGTGTGTGTGTGTGTGTGTGTCTAAATTCCCGCTTTCTCTGCCTCTCAACTTGCAACCTAAACAAGACATATGATGCCTCTCTTTTAATTTCCAAACAATATTTTAATTCATTCTTGGAAAAAATTACATTCAATGGTTTCAAAGTAATCATAACCTTTAAAACTTGTTTACGAGGATATTTTATTGCAAGTGTTTAATGTCTGAAACCTATATGGCAGAAGGCAAGAATAGACTTCCAAAAGTTGTCCTGTGATCTCCACATATGGGCCTTGGAATTTACACACCCACCCACATATAAATACACACATATACACAAATAAACAAATAGATAAATGCATTTATATTCATTGTTTTTATGAAACACCATAATGAGGTTCTGACTTTATTGAAAGCTTCTTTAAATCAGGTTCTTTTGCTGTTTGGTTTGTGTTGTAGAGAACAAAGAAAATATTCCATGTATGCTTACCAAATTAAAGCTTTCTTAACTTACATTTCTTCCCATTAATCTTATTTCTGCTATCTTCAATTATTAAAAAAAGTCACAGGTCTTATTCATGACATCCTTTTGTGTCACAATCAAAGCTTCTATTCAGTAAACCATCAGTGATAGTTTGGAGTCTCTTAACATTATGAAACTGTTCTCTGGTCACACACTGCCCGGTTAAGACAGCCTTTAAAATATGACTTTCAAAACTCAGCATATTATCTCAGGAATGGTTACAGAATGGAGAGTAGGGACAACACACACACACACACACACACACACACACACACACACACCATGTTTTGTTATACTAAAATGTCCTATTAGTATAACTTGACTTAAAAAATCTTTTCTCTCTG